CAATCGCCGGGTGCATCCACGCCGTCCGTGGAGCCTCGGTGCCTCCACGCACCATCCCATATCACAAACGGAGCGCGACGACGAGGTCATATCGCGGCCATCAGCAGCCCACCATGTAGTATGACGGTCCCATAGAGCACCTCAGTGCTGCGCAACGATTACTTACAGCCCTTGGTGCTTTCGGACGGCCGCGTGGGGTTGCGCGCAGCGCGCGCCTCGTCCATGTTCGTTGCTGGCTGTGGGCCGGGCACGTACGTCGAATCCTCATCATCGTCTTCTGCGAATAGACCAATGGTGGTTGGCTACCTGATGACCATTATTCAGGAAAAAATATAACAAAAAAATCGTTGGCAGGCAGGGACGTTCGGGTTATTCAACAATGCACTAAAGTGCCGGAACCTATCGGAGTTTGCGATTCTCATCCGACGGGACCGAGACACAATGTGCTACTGGGCCGAAACAAAAAAGAGAAAACATTGGACATTGTAAGTTTGAGGCGTACTTAGACGTCACCGCGCGACCAGCATGGCGGACAACAGATTCTAACATCAGCGTATTTGTCACCATGGCAATTGAACAGAAAAATTGGCACTGAAGCCACGGTGATATTTAAGGCGAGACCAGGCCTAAGGCTCGGCGGGAGCCATTTAGCGATCTGCTACAGCTGGCGGCCGGGGTAGCGAATGGCTGCCCCGGCTGCGCCTCGCCGCGGCCCTTGCGATGGGGGAGATGGCTTTAAGGGACTTTCAATTCGAAAACTTTTGTATGGCAATGCGTAATGGCCGGTGTCGGCCATGAATGTAAATGCCCATGGCCATTCGCACGGCCACAACAGCTGTTGGCTGTTGTGGTCGACTGGCAGGCAACTACGTGCGTCACGCGGCGACAACTGTCGACAACGGTCGACGCGTGACAAATGCGTCGCGCCGGAGAAGCACCAAGATGTGCTGTTTGTCTGGAGCCACTCAGCTCCAGATAAAAACAAAATCAGAAGCTAGCATCCCTATTGGCTTTGGACGGCGCTGTGGCCAGATATCGGAACAATCGGACAATCGAACGAACAATCAAAGGAAAGCACCACCGCGCACGGCGGACATACTCTGACACATTAACGGAATGTACATCATACGTGTTAGCGCAACACAATTCAAAGGTGTACCATTGCGCTTAGAATTAAACAAGAAATACGTCTGTTTAAGTGTTGCTTCGCCTCATAGCTGAATTTCCGAAACACGGTCATTCAGTTACTTCAACTTTCCGGCAAAATGACCTTCAGCCTGGCCTAGTGAGGTCAGTTCTTGACTTGGGAACAAAAGGCTGAAAAATCGCGAGACCACATTGAGCCAATCTACTATTGTTCGTCCGGATCTAACTTTCTAGCTTGTCTAACTTTTTTAGCTTGAAAACGGAAGGGAGCGATAGCAACTTTTGCCTTTTGTCGCCTTTTGGATTGGACTAGGTATACGGAATGGAATCAGTACCCTTCCGCCAGTCGTGCACCGCATTCACATGACCTCGATTTCTTGAGCAGTTTGTGATCTTCTGGGTAAACTTACCTGAAGCTGGTTTTGGAAGCTGGTTTCACCACTGAAAGAGGAAAACAAAGACCATGATTTCTATAACAGTTTCTTTCACGGACGGAACAAAAATGTTCGTGATGACTGGTATCTTGGAAAGTACAAAAGAACCACTTATATTTAACTAAAAGCAGACAAAAAACAATGACGACACACAGGCTGCAAAACGTTAGGAACAAAGCAATGAGCAAATTTCCTGCGCAGAGCAGTTGGGATTTGCAGCAATGACAGTCTATACCATGACACATTATTTTGTTAGTGGTATCTACCACTGATCAGTTTTAAACCCAAACAGAGCCCAATCACCCTTGTTGCTACAACCCTCTCAAAGGCACTGTGCGATCTGATGCTCTGATCTTATGCTACTGCTCACGCTTCATTCAACGCTTTAAGAACGCTTTTTAGTCCATGTACCAACCTTTCTCAAATATGACCGGATTAGGCTTGGAGACACTCTTTTCTCTCGAAACCCATGTAGGAACTCTGAAATAAGTTGAGAAATGTGAGAATGCACGCCAATTAGGCAAGCAGAAGACACTAGTGGCCAGAAGTTGCACACAGAAAAACTTGAGGGGCCCGGAGTGGCCAGAAGGGGCCTTAGAATAGTCAGGGAATTCTGTATTGTAAAATCAAGCAAAGAAACGTTGGCTCTTATTTTATACGATCATTTTCTCATGCGCGGGGAACGAAAGCATTTGAGGAACCCGGAGCACCCGGAGACCCGCTTCATTGCATTTCATGACGCTATTTTTATCATACAATCATACCCTCGCCTAACGATCATAACACATCAGCATGGAAGACGTCAGGGCTGGTAGCTAGCATAGCCGAAAAGCCACGCCTTCCCAGGGCACGCGCATGGGTATACATAGCTCACGTGTCTTTGGTTGCACCACTGCAAGGCATGGGTAAGAGAACCGGGGATGGATAGGGGCAGGGGCTAAAACCTACATGCTTCTGAAAATTTAACATTGGTCCTTTGAGCGTTCACTGCAAAAATAGTCCATTGACTACCATCTTTTGCTTGGTTGGGTAATGGACCCCTGGGCGCATGGGTCGTAGGGTTTTCCACGGCACGCACATTGGTTATGGGTTTTGTCGAGGTCTTTGGGGAAAAGGGGATCGGACAGCCCGTTTGCCTCCCATCTCGGCACCGCCCATGTTCATTTTCAGGCAAGTATAACAATGTTTATATCGGTTTATTCATGCTCCGAATAGTTATGCACGAAACGCATAGACGAAGCACTCAGTCTTCAGTCTTTCACTGAAATGTCTTAAAAACATCGGCGCACGGCTGGTCAAACGAAACGAATGCA